AACTACTGCCCTACATCTAATTTTAGTAAAAAAATAAAGTAACTCTTGCTTTTCGTGTAAGGATTGTGTAGCAGCAACAGTTTTGAAGGAAGTCAAATTGTTAGGCTGTGCTCCTTCTTCTTCACACCATGGCTCAGTACTGCCTATTTGTTTTTGTTATTTAAAAGAAAATCATTTACATTGTCATTTGCTTTAGAGAGAGAATATGACTATTTCTTGAAAATTTCATCTTTCAAGATCTAGATGAATGCTCATTTGAAGTAAATAGAACTGTTTTTTTCCTTCTGTACCTCCCTGAAGCTCAGGAAAGATGTAGACAGTGAGCAGTTCAGTTTCCTATATCTGGCTGTACTTTGCAGTCTCTTAAATATAGCTTCTAAATTATATTAACCGATATTTAAGTAGAACAAGTGGCAATTTCTTCTTAAGTTAACTTATTTTTTCCTGATATGAATTTAGACACATGAAGTAATGAAAATACTGAAAGAAAGGATATACTAGAAGTTTGAGTAACTACAAAGCAACTTCCCCAGGCAGGCTTTCCTCAGAGACAACTACATTGTATGAGTATTTGTATTTTGCTGACTTTCTCACTGTCCAGGAAAAAACTGGGCCTGGAGAAGTGGTCCTAGCAGTCAACCTGAAATTTCTGGAGCTATTGGAAGGTAGGGAGGAATTCAGGTTGAAACACACGCCTGGGGGTGATTTGTGAATGTCATAGCTTGGCCAGGAGCACTGAGAAGACATAGTAACATACCAGTTATTAAAACTGTGATTATCAGCCTACCTTAGCCAAGATCAGACACCCTGAGAATGTGGCTCCCATTTTGATATTTGATAAAATCTTCAGGTGATGCTGTTCTGGATTTAAGATTTAGAACTGCTGCTTTGGTGCAGCGAGGAGATGGGTAGTTTAAGATTATTTGAAAGGTTAAAACATCAGATGTGTATTAAAATCCTTGCCTGAAACATCAACCTCCACGTAAAAAAAATAAAAAGGAAGTTGTTGAAAGCATTGCAAGACTGTTAACAAATTAAAACTTTAAAATTTAGTGAAAGGTAGGCAAGTTTCCATAGAATCTTTTACCAGGACTAAAGTGAATAACATCCTAAGGATAGGCCTTCCTAATTGGATGCTGATGAGACAGTCTCTTCTATTCCCACCCCATCTGCTAAAGAGTAAGTCTTCTGCTCATCAGTCCCTTCCAGCAACTTGGCTGCCTTCATTTTTTTCAGATGTCTTATCAGGAAGTGTCTTCCACAGTCTTTTGGTAGACAGGCTAAGGCCTTTGCCCTTTTGTGGTTTAGCAAAAGGATTTATATTAAAAATAAAAACTATTATCTGATCCACATTATTTCCTCCACTCTCTGCAATGGACCGGTATTCACAAAGACAGAGGCCATAATGTCTCCTCTATTTCATTTTTTAGTGCTGGGGGGAGGTGTTGGCAAAGTACCCAGGCACTTGGAAAAGCATTTTGAAAATGGCTACTCACTACTTTAAATGGAACAAAGTTAATCTTTGAAGAAATATTTTTGTCTTTTAGCATAAATATTTCAAAGCCATTTTCATAAATTAGTATAACGGCTGAAAATTTTCAAGTTCTCTCCTCTTGTCTGGATCACACTTCACACTGGTCTCTTTCCCTAGTATAATGCTGACTTTCCCTGGGGACCCAGTCTTGCTATTGTCCCTGTCTGGTGGTTGACACACTGTGACAATTTCTTTGCTGTATTTTGCACTCAAATCACAAAAAGGTATGAAACATAATTAATATGTTGAAAAATTTAAGCTTAAGATACTCATTCTCACACACAGGATACACTCGATGTGAATCTGTATTTGAATATATTAGAAGGCACTGTTTAAGTTCCGGATGTCCAAGGAACTTGAACAAGAACTAGATTGCTACATTAAGAGAAAAACAAGCCTCCATGGAAGAAAGGAAAAGGAATTGGTTTCCTTCCTCATTTGTTTCTTCTGAGGACCGAGTTACAACACACTTCTGCTTTCTCTTTAAAAAGACAGAAGCCTCTTATTCTTTAGTACTAGGGTGGAAAAAAGTGTGTTTGACTTAAGGAATCAGTGTATGCAACTTTTTAAACCTTCTATCAACAATTAAAACAGTGCTGTACTCCTGATATATCAGGTCACGGTATAGGTAACTTAACCACAAACCAAAGATTCATGAGAAAACTTAGGATCTGCACTTTAGGAAAAAGTATCTGGTTTGCCTTGGTCATCCAGTGAACGGTCTTTTACAGATAACAAGCCATTGGTTCACGTTTGAGTTCTATTTTCTCACTAAAACTATGTCCTCCAGTTACAACTTTCTTTATGCGCTGAAGAGTCTTTCTTATGTCATCTGATGAGCTCGTATAATTTCTGAGTCTGTTTTAAATCTCCCCTCACTAGCCTGATATGTACAATTAGTCATTTTAGATTTCTTCTGTTTTTTTTTCTACCGAGAAGCTCTCATGCTGTGCCTATATGTAATATAAGGTGTACATTTTCAGAATGATGGAGGCATCATATATTTATTCTCAAGATGACACCATCTTGAGATGGTACTGGAGTAGCATTTCTTTCTACAGTGGTAAGTGCCTATTGAAGGAGAGTGTGAGACACCGCATGGCTGTGTGTATATTCTCAGCTGGAGTTCAGGTGTTTTGCATATGCATATTCTATGAAAGTCTACTGGACATGGAGAGTGTCATTCTCCTTCAGGTATTAACTGCCTTTCAAAACCAGAAAGTACATGAACTTTAAGCATAAAGCTTAAGTCTTAGGGAAACCTGTGAAATATATTTTGATAACTCCTTTCATTATTCCATCTTCTACCGTTTTAAGAGGTCAGAATCTTACAGCATATGAGTTATGCCATTGCCGTTCTCTCCAGTTGTCCCAAGTATGAGGCAGAGGGAATAGGACTGACAAATTTTTAATTGGTATGTTTAAAAATAACTATCAGCCATTCCAAAAATCATTAGATTAAAAAGGGACATTATTGTTCTGCAAAAGGAAGCTTATGTTCCCAGAACAAAGGGCAGTAAGGTTTTATTAGCTAGGGAAGTTCTTGATGTTGTCTTTGAACTTCTCATTTTCTACCAGACAGTGAAATTCTGCCAGGGGTTAAAGATCACATTTGAGAACAACTATTTTCAATTAAAAGCCACATGGGACCCTGAATAGCCACAAACTCAGCACCAAGCAGATATGATCAAGCATATAAGCTCTGATTTTCACTAGGAGTGCAGGGTAGTGATTCAGACTGTAGTATGATGTATTGAGTCTGGGTTCAAATCCTGCCCCTGCTTTTAGTTATATAACCTTTCTTTGCATCTGAAAGCTTTATAACCCTCTGACCTTAATTGGGAAAAATGAGACCACCTATGACTACTGCATGAATTAAATGGTGTAATTCTCTCAAGAACTGTTGTAGTAAGCACATATATGCTAAAAATGATTGGATTGACACATTACTAATGATGAGAATTAACCTCTTAATTTTAACGTATTCTTATTGGCTTTTTAAAATTTTCAGCCCTAGTATCTGTGAACTGAAGATAAAAATATATCCATTTCCAGGCTATTGTACAATCAAAATGAGATACTGTATGCCCATATATTGTTGGCAAATATATATCTGAAACTGAACTGTAATACACAGTATCGACTCTGGAACCCTGCTTAGAAATACTGTGACAGGAAGGAGAAATAACACTAATGAACGATTTAATGTATAAACACAAGCCTCCAACTTCTCTCACCCACGTTTGCATTTCCAGCTGCCCATCCAGTCTCCTCAGGGTGTTTTGTCTTCCAAACCCCTTCCTATCCACCAGCACTTGTGGCTAAGTCTGAAACCACACCCTTTTCATTTTAAGAATATCTCTTGCAAGTTAACCGTTTCTGATGATGGAGTAAGAACGAGGGGCGAACCCTCCTGCACTATTGGAATCTTTATAATTTCTTAATAATAACCCAATAATTTCCTAATTCTTGAGGAAATTGAATAATTTGGTGTAAAATAGGTATGTTCTACTTCAATAGTTTTTATTTTGCTATTCTATAATTGAGCTGTCACACTAGGGGAGAAATCTCAAATGAAACCCATTTTACAATAGAATACAAGAAATGTGTAAGAGAGGTAAATGTCCAAGGGTTGAAACGAGTATAAATGCAGGTACGGTAAGTAAACAAAAAAAATGGCATAGTAGACAAAATCACCTGCATGAGACAGTAGCCTAAGCATGGCTGAGGAACATACAGTTTGCTTCGAGTTTCAGAATGGACCCTTCCTATTCTATTGCTACCCCCACCCCTGCTTTGCCTATGTACACAGAGTGCCTAGGCAGTCATCAGATAGGGAAATGAGACTGTTCAGGGAACATGGAAAAGAGTTGTCACACTCCAAAATAGAACTTGGAAAGTTTATCATCTCTGAGTGAATAGGAAAATTGACCATTTTTAGACTAATTAAAATTCAATGTATTTTCATTTGCTATTTTGTGCCCACACATTTATTTCCCCCTCCACATCATTAAAACCACAGAAACCATGGGTTTCTGACTAGTATTCATGGAAATAAGTAAAATGTAGTTTTAAGGTTCTTTTAAAAATCCTGTTATACTGAGTTGTGCTTTTATTTTTGATAGAAGTTGCATCTTTGAAATAATTAAATCAACTTGTTTTTATTTGATTTTGCTTTTTATGAATGAAATTGTCAAGCTGGAAAAGGACAGTTTTCACGTTGGGTAAAGTACAGTGCACCGTGGAATACTACAGGCCTGGGTATAAGCATGATAGTTGGAGAGGAAAATATATAGAATAAGGAAAATTTTTATTATTTCTATATATTTTCCAAGACAGAAATTAATGGATCTGTTGTTTAGAGACAAACAAAATGCAAAAGTAAAAGATATTTTACATTAAAATAACAAACTTCGGCTGTCATAAACTTAATAGTAAGTCCATTTTTATTTTCTGGTTTACTTACGCTTTGAATCTCCTTGGAACCATTTTCAAATCCGATGTGTGGCAGTTGTGCTCCGCCGGTTTCCTCTCGTGTGGAAGGTGCTCTAATGGCACCTACCTTAGGTGGACACTGTAGATATCAAATGCATTAAAATCAATAAAAAGCACAGAATGCTAGTGGCTCATAGAGAGCTCTATGTATGTGGTAGATATAGTTATCATTATGGTTTTATTGAGATACTTTAATTAACATCTACATTCTTTATACATAGTGTCTTACAAGTTCTTAACTGCTCTAAAGTTATCCTTAAGTTTGAAATTCTATCACTTAAAAGTTGGTTAAATGATAGAATACTTTTTTCTTTTAGTTAGTTTTACGTTGACTATAGTATAAGGATTAGCATTTGGAAGTTAACACTCAGACTTACAACACAAAGAAAATATCATTATCACTGACTATATATTTTTTTTTTCCTGAAGAGAGTTAAGTACAGTTTTCCCTACATGAAGAAAGCAAGATTTGTGGGAACAAGGTAAAAAAAAAAAAGTAGTAGTTGGTGGGTTTATACTGATGGGAGAGAGCCGGAGGAGGGAAGGGAGGAGGAACTGTGGTTAATATGTAAAATGAATTTTAAAAAGTAGTTGATTTCAGGGTGGAAAAGTATAAAAAGAGACTAAAAGAGAGACATCGGAAGGCTTTTCTTTGGGAAGTTATACATCTGGGCCACACAGGCTTACTGTGTGAGTTGAAAGTACTGGACATACCAGGAGACTGGATGCAACAACCAAGATGGGTCACTCCTGCTCACGTGTTTCATTCTCTGCTCATCTGGGAGTGCAGTGGAGCAGGAGGATTCCTCAAATGCTTATGGCTTCCAGTTACTTTAACAGCCCCTCAGAGAGTACTGGACATGGATTCAGAGGATGGGATTCTCCTGACAGAAACACCACCTTCTGCTGGAGGGTGGGGGAAGGGACTATGACATTTCTTCTGTGGTTTTCCCCAATGAAAGCATTTGATTCCTAATCTTAATAAAGGTCAAATATTAATTACCAAGAAAACATATTGACTCCACCTTAAAGGCAAAAGTGTCGTTTTAACATATTAAAATGCAGCTCAATGTGATCATAACATTAAAATTGGACATCAAGCTGCTACTCCTCGAATGTTCCTAGATATTAATATTTTAGTAGCTAAAAAGAAAAGCCAAGTTTCTCATTGACCTTATATTCACTAAGATAACATATCTAATTTGTAAGAATATATATTTTCCTCATGGGATGCAATAAAATTATTTTTATTTTCAATGGGGAAAAAAAGCAACCTAGTAAATTCTTATTTTTCCTGAATTGGCCCCCAAGCTATGATCATTTGCTTCATTGGGGTTTTGACTTAATGCCATTTTTGCAGTCTATGTGATGTTAGGGATGAAAAAGTGTTCTAATATTGTCCTGACCTCTTAGCCTTGTAGTAGGCCCAGGCAAGGTGGTGAAGCGATTTGCATTGCTGTGTGCTCTGTGCCATGGACTTCTTTGAATCTTAGACTAAAGAGATTCCATCAATATTTTCTGCAGGACACCCTTACACCTGTCCCACATAAGAATAGAAAAATTATTACTATTGGGCTAAAAAGCTGGGTTAATTAGTATATGAATTGAGTCAATTTACAATTAATTTGGCAGCAATAGAACTTGTCTTTTCTTTTACCCTTGTTGCCGGTGATGACTTCACAAGGCGCACTCTAGAGAGAAAAGCTCCTTAAACAGCCAAGCTTTTCTTTAGGAATCACTACTGATTGTTATAAAGTGGCCATTTCTCCCATTGTATAAACAGGATAAGCATTTATTATTTTGAGCTTCAGGGAAGTATAAAGAGCTTTCATCTTTTGTGGTCATCAAATTGCTTTTAATAATTAGTAAATTCATTTGATGACTACTTAAAATGGGACTTGGTTAAATAATAAAAGCAGAAAATTCAAAATCAATATTACATTTCACATTTTTGTTGCTGTGAAGGAATGCCCTGCTAATATATTTAGACATCTAGAACGTTCTATAAATAGAGGCAGAACTTGGACTACTCCAAGCTGGGATTTGGGGTAAGTACAGTCATAGTACGTCTGTAGTCCCATTGGGTGGAATGCCAGACTTACAGTCTTCAGGAAGACCAGTAGTCATTCCTGTAGATATGGGCTCCTCATTCCATCTGTTATAAAAGCTTGACCATCACAATGATTAATATTCTAATTATAGTTTTTTTTTTTAAGGTCTCAAAGTCACCATCAATTGCCATTAGTTGGAGTACGTTAGTTAACATTAGTTTTGAGTTGTAGCTCTGTCATATTCAGGGATCCATGAATTTTGGCAAGTTTCTAATCCTGCTTCCTCATCCATGGACTGGGCTTGATAATATTCTTTAAGGACGCAGGATATATAAGGGTGTCCTGAGAAGTAACAGTACACAGTAGGCCACCATGAACTGTAGCTGCTTGTGTAACTATTTTGTTGTATCTCCCAAACTTGGAGGACTTAGATTATAGAAGATAAATTTTCTGTTTAGTGGTTCTGGTCTGTACTGGGAAAATAAGAACACCGTTGCCCACAAAGGTATAAATAGCACCCAATTAGCTTCATCCTACTGCAAGAAGCAGAGCTATAATTGTCTTTCAGTATCCATGATAGATTAGTTTCAGGACCAAAAATTATGGACAATTAGTTTCCATATATAAATTAGCATAGTATTTAATTGTAATCCAAACAACACTCTCCTGTCATTCTGGACTACATGTAATAACAACTATAATATAAATGCTATTTTAAAAATTCTTTTTATTTTTAATTATGTGCACGTGCATATGTCAGTAGTATGTACACGTGAGTCCAGGTGCCTGTAGAGGTCAGTGGCACTAGATCCCCTAGAGCTAGAGTTATAGGCAGCTGTGAGTCATCTGACATGTGTGTTCGGAATTGAACTCGGTTCTCTTAACTGTTGAGCCATCACTCCAGTACTATAGATGCTATTTAAATGTATGCTTGGCTGGATTGTTTACAGAATAGTGACAGGAAAAAGCAGCTTGCCCATATTCAGTACAGATTTAATTTTTAAAAGCTATCTTCAGTGTGGTTGCAGTAATCGAAGTCTGCAGACCCCATATGCAGTGGCTGTCCTCTTCTCTTTGTGATTTAGAGGGGTAAGGGGCACTGGATATGGTTCTGCATGTTTAGCTGTCTGTCGCGATGCTTGACCTATTCCCTGAAGAATAGGGAAAATGTGTGTAATAAGCCCCCAAATAAAAACAGATTATTGATTTGGAGGAAGTATCTGAAAGTTCTGGGACAATCACAAATTGATTCTTTAAAATAAACCTTCAAACTTGACTGTGACAAAAAATCACTCCAGGAAAAAAAAATCCCAGCATCATGATGGATAAGTTTAAATAAATTTTCACGTAACCCAGACTGAACATAGATAGCTCTCTGGATTCGCTGGGAAGACAGAACAAGTGGAGGTCTGTCCTGCATAATCTGAATGGAAGGAAGGGAAGTTAACATGCATTCATAACCAAAAAAGAAACAAGTCACAAAGAAGCTAGAATAGATTCATCTTATCATCCAAAAATTGACACATTTGTCCTAAAAACTTAGTTATACAACTTCTAAGTATATAACCAGTCTGAGAAGAGTTTATGCACGCTGAAATGCTGGAGGTCCTCGAGGACTAGGATTTATAAAGCCCTTATTGGTCTTTCCCACAGTGTGCTACTGGAATAAAGAGATTTAGAAAATTTGGCAGAGAATTAACGTTAAAAGAGAATATATTGCATAAAAGAAAACATGCTATACACATATTGTATGTGTGGACATGCACACACACACACACATACACACATCCCCAACACACAGAGTCTGTGGAGTCTCTGAAAGACTGACAGATGGCTGTAAGACTACATTTTGTTTGAGGGGTCAGTGGCTGTCAGAGAAGACTGACAAGTAGCTCTTAAGCTAAACTGGAGGTTGTAGAGTTTTTAAAACTAGTTTTTCAAACTAACTGAAATGACTGTACAACTCATGCCTCCATTTCCATCCCGCAGCCTGTGATGGCTTTCTTCCTCCTCTGACCTGGTGAATGTGCAGACCTGATGCTTTCTTTCTGTCTGCCATGGAGCCACTGACTCTGTGCCTTCCTGTGCATCTAGCCTCCCATGTCTTTGGAAGTCTTGATTTCCATTTGTCCCTGAAAATTCAGTGTCCCCAAAGGCTATGTCTTAGATGTTTAGCTTTTCATTTTAATTTACTATCTTTGATTTTCTTCTTTCTTCTTTCTTTTAACTCCTTTGTATTGCTGGCTGCTAAAACTGTACTGAAGTTATTCTATTTTTTAAATCTAGTATCATAGGCTTTTGAGGCATGAATGTCCATATCTACTTCTATGGAACACCACCATGTACATAAAACAATATATATCGTGTTTTTCCTCCCCCTGCAAATTCAACTCTATATCTTTTTGTTTCAAAATACTTCTCATCTATGCTAGGTGGCTGATGCTGTAGGTCTGCTGTTATCTGTGAAGGAAAGCTAGAAGCCCTCATACAACTAGGCAGTACTTTCATTCATCTCATCTCCAAATTTATCATTGACTAAATCCTTAAAATATTATACTTAAAATAATTTCCATACTGTTTTGTACTATTGTATCTCCAAGTGGCCCTGATTAGTTCTCTTTCTGTTATGGCAATAAGGCTCCAGACTTTCCATTACTTTGTATCCATCCCACTTTTAATCTAATTTTTCTCCTATTTTTTCAACAGAGTGATTCATTCAAATGGGAAGTTTGATCATTGCTGTCCCTTACATTATTTCTTTTACCCCTTGTCTTTAGGATAAAATACAATCCCTTTAGTTCAGTTGGCACATCAGCTTCTTGGTATGTTATCGGTGATTTGCACACCACATATCTACAGTTTCCCAAATAACCATGCTGTTTCAAGCTTTTTACTTTTAATATATATATTATTTTAATATATATTTATTTTAATATATATAATCTCCTTTGTGCAACACAACTAATGTCTTCCATTTCTTTTTTGACTTAATGTGTGGTCATTTCAGTGCCAACTTGTGTCCTCTTTA